AGCAGCTTATAACAGATTTAATGTTTTAACTTATTTGATTTCGTTTTTCAGTAATCCTGAACACTGTGTTCTAATTAATTTTTGCTATGGCGTTTGTTTATTTACTTTGGTAAATATAATATGTATTTCTAAAGTTAAAAAAATCATTATGAATTTATGATTAATGGAATTTTCTCTAATGGAAAACAAAGGAACATTTCTAATCAAGTACTAGAAAGTTAGTGACAGTTTCTAAGTGACCCAATTGTGACGTAACCAAAATACCATGACACTACTATATTCTGACTTTAATTTTGCGGTTTCGTAGTTTTTCTCCCCTAAGTTGTAGTGAACCCGCCTCATGAATTCCTATTGGCTATTTAGTGTAAAGACCTACTTGAGTTGTATACACTTGACGGAATCGGAATTATAGTAGAGTAAAACTGAAATGGCGGCGTTAATAGAAGGGCAGCAATATGGTCTTTCTTCACAGGGAAACATATTTAATAACAAATCCTTAATATTTGTAAAATTGACTGATTCGGCACTGAGAAGTATTGAGGATTATTTGAAATCCAGGGCAAGTAGTTTTTTTTATTTGGTTGAGCTTAAAAAATTAGTATTGTTGAAGTGTGTGATTTGTTTGTAAATAAAACCTAGACTTTGTTTAGCAGCACTAAAATGGTTAGTGTACTAGATCTGATGATAGATGGATTAATTAAGCTTATCCATGAAATTAGGTCATATATAAACGTTAAATAAAAATATATATATATATAAATTTATGTTTGTGTTGAAAAATCTTTTCACGCCAAATATGGTGCGGTTTTAGGCGATTATTAATTACTAAATTACTGATTGTGAATGTAATGTATACTGGTGACACAGACTTTGATTTGAGGGTACATTAGGAAGAAAATACTCAACACAACTAAATAAGATTATTCAAAATCCTGAAAGGAAAGTGGATTGAAAATTCAGTCTGAACACCAGGGGTCACATTCACAATTTATCAACAACGAATTCCTTCTGGAAGGATACCTAAAATACTAGATAGACTGGTGACTTTTTTTACATTATATATAAATAATATTTCTAACTACTTGCCTGTTATATTTTGTTTGAATTAATAATATTAATGGTCGAGACTGGTTTCTTTTAAATTAAAAAATGGTAGGAAGGCGTGCTTTTTAATTTTATGAAATTAATAATGTCACTGATATCCTAATACCATCGTTTTGCTTATTAATTTGCAAGCTTTTACATGTAGATGTGCAGCTAAATCGCGATAAATACGAACTTACTATGACTTGTATGGTTATGGAAGGATAAAGGAATCAAATAAGTCATTATCATGAAGGAAAAAAGAATACTTGATTAAAAGTGTTAATGGTGTTTATTTTCTTATCTGTAATGTTTTATGGTATGATACACATCAGAAACTTAACACAGTCGATCTGTGCCAGTAACATTATAACATGTCATAACATATCTTTGATGCATGTTCATGCATAAAAAAAGTGAAGGAAATATTTTTTTATATAGTAATTTGATAAAATGTGCCCAGAATTGTAAGCAATACAAGACAATCTAACATAAGAGAAATGATCAGTAGTGAATTTGTTTACTGAAGAATAATTCTTCTAAGACTGATATATTTGTAAGAAAGTTGCTTAACATAGTACCACTACTAGTAATATTTTGAAAATGTTTAGTTAGTAAAGGAGGCCTGAAGATATAACAGAATGATAGTTTTAAAGGAAATTGTTTTAAAGAAATTAATGCTCTTTCTTAAAATTGGGATTCATTGGAACAATAAAAAGAAAAAGAGATGGAGAGGGTGTGTTAAAACATTTTATTCAGATTGAATAATATTCATCATTAAGTTAATACTTTGTGTATAGAAGAAAAAATCCTTTCAAGATATATTTTTATCACTTTTATTTTGACACTTCAGTTAATAACTAATTAATTGTTTTGTAAGTATACTTATTTCCTACACTTTTAAGTTACTCTGCTAGATTAATTGAAATTAATGAGAAAAAAATGAAACATTATCTTAATTGACTGACTAAATGCAATAAAATGATAAATGTATCAGTCTTTACACAATAATGTACGTATTTAGATTTTAACTTAATTAAACACTGATAGTGAGTTTATACCGGAATTTTTCCAGCCTGTGAATTAGGACTTAACTTACTGATCTGGTTCTTTATTAAGTAAGAATCTAAAAATAGATTTAAAACAGATACTTGGCATACTGTAACAGTCTAGGACTTAGAATGTACATGCATACACTGTTGAATAATCTGTTTCCTTATGCCAAGGATAGTTTGAAAGGATCAAGGAATTTGTTTATTTGAACATTTATATCTTGATATTTTTAGAGAATTATGGTTTAAAGGTTTTGAAGTCAGTTTAATTATCATGTATCTAAATTTAATTAATTTTCAAGGGTTGGAAAAATGTGTTAATAAGTATCAAATTCAAGAATATGAATTATATTTAAAATTTTACAAGTTCTTCATAAATGTTAGTATCTTGGTAGCTGACAGTACACTCTACATATTGTAGTGAATTGTTGAAATAATTGATAAATTATATGAAACTATTATTTTATTGATTAATATCTTGTTGAAAGTTTATTAAAAGAAGCTAAAAGAAACATTTTAAAGCTACAGATCGAGGCACATCACTTTAATTTTGAAATGTTGGCAAGTAGAAATACAATTGTCAAGACTATGTCTTTTCTGGCATGTGTTCATTATTGACTGTTATGAATAGTTGAGTTTAATGTACACGAAGGTGCCTTATGTGAATGTCATACATGTTCAGTATGTGTACATGATTGTTTCTACCTGATATAATACAAACTTACCAGTTATATGTCTGGCGCTTTCCTGTGCCACATGTAGTAACCAGATGGTTCTTTTGGCTTGTCACAGACAAACAGAATTGTATTGTACCATATTTAATATGCTGTCACCTACAATTTGTCTACAAGTAAATTTTCTACATATTTATTAACATGTGAATTACTGTACTTGTTTTGTTTATTGCATTACATAGTTTTTTCTGTCACAATAAGGCTTCTAAATACCTAATATTTTTTCTGTGTTGCTACTAACTATACAAATTTCAAGAAATACATAAATTTTAAACTTATAAGTTTTTTAGAATAAACCATGAAAGAACAAGATACACTGTCAAATGAAAAAAAAACATTTTTCACTCCTGAATAATTAAAGCTTGAGACTGAGTTCTTACATAATTGTGCACTGCACCAAAATTATCTTGCATTTTTTTATGTAAGGGAATTGTTGAAGAATGTAAATGACAGTATGAATCCGACATATTAAGTAGCACATTGTAAAATATTCAATTTTTTACTGTGTTTGAAATCTGGTTATTGTGAAATATCATGAAACTGACAAATATAGCTTTGAAAACCAAGATGTACATGACTCTTAAAATTTGGATAATTTCTGGTGGCTTTTTTATAAAGAACATAAGCAAAATGACAACAAGCCATTCACCATATATAGATAACCTGTGTTCTTAAAATGGGAAATACCAACCTAATTAAATGTTTCACAAACAGTATAGCAGAACAATTTAAAAATAATTCAAATTGTAAGCAAATACTGTTTCATAAGGCAAATTATTTCATATGCTAACGTTTCTAATTATTAATTGATATAGTTTCAATATTTTATTAAATTGTGATGAAGAAAAAGTGTGTATTGAACTATTTTGCTGTGAACAGGTTTTATTCATTCTACATAACATCATGAAAACTAAACTTTTCTGGTGCTACTTTGGATATTTATAGAAGAAACATGATACAAATTCATTTATTGTGAAATCAAAAGATCCACCATGAATTTCTCAAAATTTGTGCACTGGCATTTATTCTCAAATATTGTTTTGTTTTGTAGTAAACACAATTGGGAATAACCATTCATTTGCTTGTAGTGTGTTGTTACATGTAATTCAGTAAATGATCATGGATGTGAAAAATGTTTAAATATTGGAGCAGTGGCGTAAACATAGGTGTGCCTACCCAAACAGTCAGTATGGCAATATCCTTGTTCAGCTACTTCATATGTAGCATCTCCTGTTTGTCCATTATAACTCTAAGGCCACTCAAAATTTCATACCGTTCTACACCACTGTGTTGTATATGGTTTCTGAAGAATGTAATATTTGATTATGAAGAAGATTAGGTTTAACAAGGATAAATAAATATAGTATGAGTTTAAGTTCTTCATTTATGCTTCTGAAGGTTTGGTTTTATAAATAAAATATAATAGAAGTTCTTGGTTTGCCTAAAGTTATATATAACTGTATAAATACTGTATAATTCTAATAACTGGGTTATGATACCAATAGTGGGTACAGCATAGGTCAGTGTCTAGTTTATGAAATTTCAATAGTGCACACTCATTTCAAACATATTTCAAAAACAACAACTTCAAAAATCAAACACTTTATTTATTAGAAAAATACGACTTCAAAATAAATAATAACACTCTCACAACTGTAGAGAACATGCTACTTTACATCCAGGCAATATTAACAACATCAAAGTAGATAATAACTCACAACTGTAGAGAACATGCTACTTTACATCCAGGCAATATTAACAACATCAAAGTAAATAATAACTCACAACTGTAGAGAACATGCTACTTTACATCCAGGCAATATTAATAAATCAAAGTAAATAATAACTCTCACAACTGTAGTAAACATTGTTACTTTACATCCAGTCAATATTAACAACATCAAAGTAAATAATAACTCTCACAACTGTAGAGAACATTGTTACTTTACATCCTGTCAATATTAACAAATCAAAGTAAATAATCCTGTGAAAGTTAGGTTTCTTTTCCTTTGCAATTTTTTGAAATCAAATACTGCACACTAAAATAGGCCCTGGCATAGGTAGCCAACTGTGTAGCTTTACACTTAACAACAAAGAAACAAACAAACTGAAATACTGTGTTTTTTGTTGTTGTTTTTTTTCTTTTCTGGAAAGTGTACAGATTATCTGTTTTAGTAATGATCTGGTTTAGAAGATTTGAGTTATAAAGCAAGATGTGCATATTAACATGTACTGTTTAGAATCTAGAAAAATTAGGGGAGATTTTATTCAGTTGCTGAAATGTTTAGGAAATTGATCAAAATGCTTATAAGCAGCTTGTTTAATTTCTGAAGAATAAGATTGGTCAGTTGGATTTGAGAGGCCATAGTTACAAGTTTTGGAAGCCAAAATGCAGACTTGTTGTTGATAAGTTACTTTTTCATTTTCATGATGAATTTATGAACTAATTTTCATTATAGTGTGAGATTTTTATTTACTACTTTCTTGCAATATTGTGTCAGGCAAGTTTATTGTACATCCTTATTCAGGGTTTGAATATTTCACTCAGTGATCACATGCTTGCACAGGTATTTTATCAGGTAGTTTTGAGTGGGCAAGACTGTCACATACTAGCAACTCAAGGCAAGAAACTTGTGATAAAAAGAAACAATTTCTTATAACTATTGGACTACATTTTTGAGAGACAGTAT